GATGTGTCAATTTCAAAAACAGATTCTCCAAAGATTAATAAATACATTTGTAAGTAGCATTGCAATGGGAACAGTCTGGCCAAAATAAACAATGTGTGTATTCAAGGGGGCTGAGACAAGCACCAAGTTTTAAAGGCAAAATAAGGAGCGTCATAAATTATCTTTAAACAATAACCCTTGGCTACCAGGCTTGATAACAAGATGGTAGCAGTTCAAGGCCATATAGGCAGCTGCTGGGCAGACATCCTCTCAAGTGGCCTGTGTGCAAGACTGTGGTTCTGGCAATTTCCAGCACGAGCACAAGGCCCCTCCTTCACAGCCTCCCGGCTTTACTTTTTGTTGTTGTTAGGGTTTGACAAGTGACTATTAAGAGTCTAACAACTTACACAGGTAGCTGTAAACATTAGATTTGTTTCTTATTTACCTTTACAGACCTTTATTACAAAAGATTTCAGACTACATAATACTTGTTAATGAAAAGAATATATAACAAAACCTTTGTTTCAATCTCTCAAAGCTATCAAACTGAGTAAATCAATTATCTTGTTTATTATATTATAAAAAGAGCTACAAATTCTCTGTAGAAACTGTCTTAAAACACAGAAAAGGAAAATGGATGAAAACAAGACACCCTAATCCTGAAGTTGGGCTAAAGACTGCTAACTAACACTCTTTGCTTTCTGACCTTTTTTCTCCTTATAAAAAAACGGCTCATATTTATGCAGCTTTCCAACAGGAGATAAGGGTGTCACCACTGATCATCGGATTACCAGAAGTATAAACATGAAGCAATACCACTTGCGAAGCACTTTTACCACAAAATATTGAAACCTGAATCTAATCCAGCCCTTGAATCTACCTCAAAACTTATGAAAAAATCATGTAAGATATATCCAGAATTTGAGACTCTCTGCTGGACAACTGACGGGGTCTTTTCAACAAATCAATGGCATGATTTAAAAAAGGTGGCGGAAGTCACTGCCTAAGATTTAGACACATAACAACCAAATGCAATGCACACCGAAAAACAGAAACAACAGCATAAAAAAAAAAAAAAAAAAAAATCGGGCTGGGGATGTGGCTCAAGCGGTAGCGCGCTCGCCTGGCATGCGTGCGGCCCAGGTTCGATCCTCAGCACCACATACAAACAAAGATGTTGTGTCCGCCCAAAACTAAAAAATAAATATTAAAAAAAAAAAAAAAAATCAACAAACCTATTAAACAGATGCTGTTAAAGAGTTAGTGCAGGCCCACAATTCCAACAGCTTGGGAGGCTGAGGCAGAAGGATCATAAATTCAAGGCCAACCTGGGCAACTTAGCAAGACCCTGTCTCAAAAAAACAAAATAAAAAGGACTGGGGATGTAGCTCAATGGTAAAGCAACCCTGAGTTCAATTCCCAGTACCAAAAGAAAAAAAAAAAAAAAATCAGTGCTGGCTTCAGATGATAACAGTAACATGATTACACAAAGAAAATTTCCCATTTTTTGTTGTCAGAAAATGCAAACTCAAAAGGACAAGATTTGTTTTATTATACAAACACAAACACAAATAAGTATGATAAAAAGTTAATGATTAAATTTATATTAAGGTAAGGCAGATAGGTTTGTACATTTTTATAAAAAGTTTTTATAAATTTTTTCTTATTTTTGGTACCAGGGATTGAACTCAGGGGCACTCAACCACTGAGCCACATGCCCAGCCCTATTTTATACTTTATTTAGAGACAGGGTCTCAGTGAGTTGCTTAAGCGCCTTGCTTTTGCTGAGACTGGCTTTGAACTCCCAATCCTCCTGCCTCAGCCTCCTCTGGAGATGCTAGGATTAGCTGGGATTACAGGCATGCCCTACCATACTAAGCAAATTTAAATTTTTAACTGAGTAATCAGTCATATTTCAGTTCTAATAAACCCAGTGAACAAGCATTTGCAAATAATAGTATTTTTATGAATGTTTTCATGCTTCAAAGAAAGCAAGACTCTCTTACCTCTGAAAAGCAACTAAGACTTCATTGAGTAGTTTAGGTAAAATACAAAGGCTCCGTAGTTCAAAGCCAGCCTCAGCAATGGTGAGGCGCTAAGCAACTCAAGAGTGACCCTGTCTCTCTAAAGAAAACATAAAAAAGGGCTGGGGATGTGACTCAGGGGTTAAGTGCCCCTGGGTTCAATCCCTGGTACAAAAAAATAAAAATAAAAATAAAAAAGATGCAAAGGCAAGAGAAAGAAACGGGGAATACCTACCCTATGAGAAAATGTTAAAAAATGTCTGCTAAGAGACTGTTTCCACACATCAGCACTGCCCCATTAAAAAAGCCTTCAGGGAAACTTACAGGGAGAGGAAATGGAGAGATGAAAGTCAGAGGGTACCAAGTATCAGAACCAGTCTAGATCTAATGCGCAACATGACCAACACCAACATAAAAATTTTCTGTACTTAGGATTGCAGCTAAATGGGTAGATTTAAGTGGCTCTTCCCACAAAATAAAATGAGAGAAAGAACAAACTGTGTGAAATGAAGGGATATATTAATTTGTTTCACTAAAGTAACTATTTTACCATCTTTATGTATCCCATTAGCATCACGTTATATACCTTGAATATATACAGTAAAATTGAATTTTTAAAAGAGGAGAACTGGTACAGTAAATAAACAATGATATTACCAACACTAATAATCAGAAAACACTAAATTTTGAAAAATTTAAAATCAAGTTTTCCCCATTCTTGTATGTAGTAGATCCCCACCATCCTTGGGGAATATGTCCCAAGACCCACAGGGATTACCTGAAATGAGAAAAGTACCAAACCTTGTAATTAATGCTTTTTTCCATCTTAATTAAGCAATTATCACACAGTTTCATACTTTGTGGTATTACAGCAAAACCAGCACAATTTATTTTTCCTTCTTTAAATTTTCATAGACATGATTTTTTTCTTATGGTAGATCTTAGCAACCTCACCATATGATTTTATTTCTCTGTCATCAAGTCAAAAGTTGTCACCTTTCACTTAAAGGAACACTTTATGAACTCTCTTCAGCATCTGAACTGCCTGGACCCCACACTCTGGTTCCTTAGGGCCATTATTAAGCAAAATAATGGTTATTGGAACACAAGCACTGCAATAGCCACACCCTGATAAGGAAACAGCTCCCCAGTGACTTAACAGGTAGACACCACATCCAGTATGGAGATGCTGCCACCCAAAGGGACTGGTCAGGTCCCAGGTAGCAGAACAGGACAGCACAAGACTTCGTCTCGTTACTCAAAATCGCATGAAATTTAAACTTTTGTGAATTATTTATTTCTCGAATTTTCCATTTAATTTTTTGGGACCCAAGTTGGTCAGAAGAAACTGAAGCCACAGAAAGTAAAAACCACTGATATAAAACCACTGATGGAGGTAGTGGAAGACATTTCTATTTTTCCACTTCATAGAAAAATGCCATTTTCTTTTTGTACACAGTGAATGCCAGAACACGCAAAAAATCACCTACAAAAAGTACAAAATTGAAACCATCTACCTATGAGGTTAGTCAACTCTTTATAAAATACTCCAGTAACTACTTTCTGGAACAACAAAATTTTAAAAAACACAACTGTTTGCAACAGGAAGATGAAAAACCTGAGGGAAAAAAAAATCCAAGATTTTTAAAAATGGGAATTATAGGTGAAATCATCTAAGTTTTATAAATCCAATAAGCATTTGCTGGGCGATTATTTATGATGCCAGATCTTGTTACCATGGATACAAAGATAAATAGAAATGGGTATATCCTCACAGCATAATCTGGGAGAGAAAATTATGTAAGCATAAATACTAAAAAGTACCATTAATGTGAAATGTGAAAAGTACCATTGTTGTAGTAAGCACAAGCTTCAGCAGTGGCGTGAAAAAGACAGTGACCATCTTGAACCTGGGGAACATCACAAAAGTGAGTCTTGAACTGCAGACTGCCTGACAAATAAGAGGCAGGCCATTATTCCAAGGTAAAGTGCAAGAGCTCTTGCAAACATCTCGCATCAGCCTGAAGTGTTTGGGAAAATGGTTTCATACAGCCAGTTAGGGCAGAAGAGAAAGTAGTCCCTAAGGTTAGAGGGGTAGGCAGGGATCTTGGACTTTCCCAAGTACATAAAGGGAAATACTTGTTCTTTAACCTATTGAGCAACAACATCAGGCTTTACTTTTTCAGAGAGTAGTTCTTGCAGTGGTGTGGAAGTCAATCTAAAGAAATGACTGCAGAGAAAAGGACCAAGAAGAAAAGATGAGATAATCATCTGAAATAAGGAAATCGCCCCCAAAGTTCAGATGTCACTTTTGAGTTAACATACCCTATAACCACAGGCCTACTGGGTACCTTCTCAGAATATCCTGAAAGGACCTAAACACATGAATCTCACCTAATGAGACCTTGATCTTCCCCCTACCCCCTCCCACATGCTCCTAAAGGAAACACAACTGACCTTCATCCAGACTCCAGTTTCTTCGCTGGGACAGCACCACCAGGTATGGAAGTAGAAATCCCAGAAGAGCATCCCATGACTTCAGCCCTTCTATAGGCCCATGTCTAAAAGACCCCAAATTTCACTGTGGTGACCTCTGAATTTCCCATCACCACTCCTCAGTCCTGTGGCACCTCTGGCCAGGACTGCAGCTGCTGCCTGCTCTTTCTTTCTCACGTTTAATTTTGACTTGCATTGCAAAATACAACCACGGATCTGATGTTACTGGAGTTCCTCTGCTGTTACTGCACCTCCCATACCACATGGTACACTTACGAATCCATCAATGGGCTGGGCTCAGTGGTACAGCACTTGAAAAGCACGTGTGAGGCACTGATTTGAGTCTCAGCACCACATAAAAACAAATAAATAAAAGTGTTGTGTCCACTATAACTAAAAATATTAAAACTTAAAAAAAAGAATCCATCAGTGGCTTGAGATAAAAATGATTCTCCACATTTAGCTCATTTTGGTCATTAACAAATGGAATACCACACTGACCTCTTTCAGTCTTCAAACTCCCAGGTTCCTTCCCACCACAGGGTCTTTGCACATGCATTCTCCTTTCTTCTTCCTCTAGGTAACTTCTGCTTGTTCCTGCACTCTCAGTTCAACTGGGACAGCTTTCCCAGACCAGATCCAAGTCCCCTGTCTTAAATTCTCAAAGCACCACATCTTCATAGCTACATTTCATTCATCTCAATATTGGTTTATTATACATCTCTCCCTTAGAATCACCCCATGAAAACAAGGATTGTGTTTAGCTCACAACTATAATTCAAATACTTATCTGGCATATAGCACTCAAATTTAATGCAATTATATTAACTAATTAATTAGATTCATGATTGAATGAATTTAAAAATCAATTTAGAAGCAGAGATACATTAAAGGGGACAGGGTCAAGGCAGAAACATTTTAATTATTAGGTGTGCAAAGTCAAAATGTCTCCTGTATGAGTAATTGTGTCACTAAAAAATAAAAATTAAAAATATACAAATATGGGGGTAGTGGAAAAATAAATACACACAAAAAAGAGTAGGCTTAAGCAGTGGGGGAAAGTACTAAATGTTGATTATGAGCATCTAAGGAATATTCAAATTCAAATGGTCAATAAGTTGTTAAGAGTATGCACTCTTGACTAAAGTCTGAATTAAAATACAAATTTGGGTGTATATCAGAATGTACAGAAGAGAAAACCTCAAAATAAGGAGAACTCAGAATGAGATAAAGATGAAATCAAGCTAGAGTCTAAAACAGCATTTAAGAAAAAGGACATAATAAGATTTTTTTAAAAAAAAGAGCAAAGAAGAAAATTAGAAGGCAATGTTGTAGAAGTCAAGAATTGGGTTTAAAAAAATCATAGGTAATATTAACTGCCAAAGAAAGGTCAAGGGAGAAAAAAAAATTGTAAATGATCAATGCAGTTGGCAATCAATAATTATCACGACAGACATGACTACAGTTGACTGAGGAGTGAAGAGAGGTGAGGAGCCAGAGAGACACTGAATGTGGACTATGTGTCTGAATGCAAAAGAAACAAAAAACCAGGAAGGGCACAGACTAGGAGTTGCAGGTCAAGGAAATACTTTATTTGCTTATTCTCAAAATGAAAGACTTTGGTGTACTTATGTGTTAAAAGGAAGAGGCCAGTGGCTGAAAACATGAGGGAAAATATCTGATGGAACACAGTCTAAATATGAATCACAAGGGATTTTACCTTAACCAGCTTTAAAAAAAAAAGGAACCAAGAATCTTAGAGATAAGAGGTGTTTCTGTATCAGGGCAAGAAACTGTGGATGTAAATATGGATAGCTGCAGATGGACAGGTGTTCCAGAGGGGGCAGCTTAAGAATCATACGAAAAATTTTATCCTGTGGACAACAGAGATACTTGACAATAGAGACACTTGGAATAATAAGATGACACTTTATGTTTTAAGGAAGTGGTGGTGGGGGGGGGTCACCCCAAAGGTTTGGTGTAGCCAATATGAAATGGAAGGGTCTTCTAGAACCACCTGAAAGTATGCTAACTGTTCAGTAGAGTATTCTTCTCCTCGCTGTGCTACTTCTTACTCCAAGTGTACAGGTCCCTGATCCCTCTGACAGCTCTATTCTTGCTTTGTATTGTTATGGGCCATTTCATCACAATGATTTTGTTCTATTTTCCTACTCTCCCTGATAATTAAGAGGAAGAACATATCTGGAATTTGTTTTAGCATTTTCTAAACTTTCTTCAAATTTTCCTCCTTAACTGCTAACAGAAAAATAAATGCTGCCTAACACAAAGGAAGAAACATTATGAGGTAAAAAATTTAAACAAAAAAATTAGTTCCACATAAAATACCAAATTTCAAATCTAAATTCCAAATCAAATTCCTGCCAGGGTTTAATCACACAATTTAAAGAAAAACAGATAAATATCTTGGTCTTTTTACTAACATGGCCAAAGATCTACTTCAGAATTCGCTGCCATGGTTAAAGCACTTCTGCATATTACTGATTACATAAAAAACAATATAATTTTTTCAAAATACTGAGGTATGCAGAAAACTTCCTATTACCAACTTCTCCAAAATTGTACAAGGTGCTGAAAACTCATCTCAAGATGATCATATAATGCACATAAAAGAAAAAACCACCCAATTTCAGAATGATTAAATGAGACACTCCTGGAGAAATTATCTTAGTCAAATGTAGAATCAAAACAATTAAAATAAACCTACTAGAAGATGACCACTGGATTTTGCAAAACTATCTTGTAACAGACCTTCACTTAAACTAAAAAGTTGTAGGTTGACTCAAGTCAGTTAAATAATTTTATTACACCATCATTAAACTGAGCACAAACACTGTAGATTCCAAGTCTCCCCACTTATTGCTGAGCTGTTGAAAAACAAAGGTTTCCATCCCAACTATTTACCTTTAACTACAAGAGTGACATTAAAAATCAGCTGGCACCAAATGTCAACTATTTCACCCTTCTCTTTCTTCCCCCTCCATCCTCCCCATCCCCCCACCTTTAAACAGAAGCACAGACTCCTGGACTTTCAAGGATGGGCTTGGCATTCTCCCTTCAGTGCTTACTCAACCACTCCCTTGCCCACCTTCCCCAGCAGCTGAAAAGAATCTTCCTTGAAGACCTCCTTAACCAGGGAAATAGGGCTGGGTTCCTCCGACATGCTTGTGAACGCCTGTCATCTGTCTCTCTTCTGTCCCTCTCACCAGTCTTGGAGTTCTTTATAACTCAGAATGGTCACACAGAACAACCTCTTCTGGAGTCCTAGCTATGATTTTTCAATACCCAAAGAGAATGACACATAGGGATAAGACCATGTAATGTTTTATGTTTTTTTTCTTAAACTTACCTCACCCCTGAAAGTTACCGTGCAGGGTGGGTTTGGGTGCCTTTTTAAACTTGCTTCTGCACTACTTACTCCCTATGACAACATTACAACTTCGCTAGAGAATCCTTGAAACTGTAGTAGGCATTTCCTGGCCTAAAACTAGCTTTAGATTTAGAGGCTTCTGAGAGATTCCTAATGACCACACATTCATGGCTACTGGTCGGAAAAAGTTCCTCTGTAAACGAAGCCTGTCAAAACATAAAAGCAAACTACACTCGAAAAACACATCATAGAGGTTCACATTAAATTCTTTATGCTTAAGGTAAGGGCTGCTTTAATGAAAGTCATCTCAAGACCTTTCAGATCTCTGCCCCAGATAAAACTACGCAAAATCACCCAACGAACACAAGTCTGCTGCAACTAAGTGCACTCACCGCACCTCGGAATATTAAGAGCCGAGTTAAAACTAAACCCTCGGCTCACAAGCAGTTCGCTGGCTCCCACTCAGAGCCCGCAACGTGAATGTCATTCTGAGAATGCCAGAACCAAAGTTCGTTTTTTAATTCCTAAAACTACTTAAAAATGTTCCTGTGTTAACAACCCAGTTGTAATTATTTGGACGCAATCCAGTGGTAATTGATTTTCCATGTACCCCTGGAAATGCTTGGCACCTCGCAAAACCCATCTCCGCCTCGTTCCCGAGCTGAACCCTCCGCTGTCTTCCCAGCCGGCGTCGACCGCAGCAGGCCAGGGCTAGCTAACTGCCCTCGGGCTCCACTAGCGCCCTCGACACGTGAGGAACAAAGCCACTCCCCGGAGTCCCCCAAGTCCCCTCCACCGCGCGGCGCGAGCGGCCCGGATTCCACGAAGGTCACGGGCACTCCGCTCCCTCCCCGCTGGGCGGCACGGCTAGCGACACCTCGTCGCGCTCCGGGAGAGCGGCTCCGGACCCGGCGCCGGGGCCGGGCGGGGGCGAGCGCCGGCCCTACGCCCTCCGCACGGCGCCGCCCCACCCCGCCGGCGGGGCCCGCACGGCCCGCACTGCACCGCCCGGCGCTCGCGCCCGCCGCCCACGCCCGGCCGCCGCCGCCTCGGCCCGGGACGCGCGGCAAGATGGCGGCGGCGCCTCCGCCCGCTCCGCCGCGCCTGGCCGGGCCTCGCCGCGCGGGGCCACAGGAGGCAGGGCCGCGGGGAGGGCGCGGCCGCGGCCAGGGCGGGCCGGCGCCGCGGAGGGGGAGCCGGGCGCGGCGCGGCCCGCAAGGCCGCCCAGGCCCGCCGCCGCCCGTCAGCCCGCGGCCCGCAGCCCACCTTTGAATTTGAGGTCTGTGGGCGGGTCGAGGACCAGGATCTGCTCGTGCTTCGCCATGGACCCGGAGGCGGACGCCATCGGAGGCAGCGCAGAGCGGGGGCGCGCCCGCGGCGGCGGTGTGCTGCTGGGCGGGACGACGGCGCCGCTCGGCCGCGCTAGGACGGGGCCAGCTCCGGGCGCCTGGGCCTCGACGCCTGTCGCCCTGTCGCGGCTCCGGTGGCCGGCGCTAGGTCCGCAGCTCCGGTCTCACAACTGACTCAACCCCACACCAGCCGCCGCGGCCACGCGCACTGCGATCCTCGGCGCCCCACGTGACAGCCCCTGCGTGCCTACGTGCGCGCCCTGGCGGAGGCGCGCCCCGCCCCCGAGCCAGCCCGGTGCTGCGCGGCACGGGCTGCTGCGCTTGCGCACTCCCGCCTGCCGCTCCCGGCGCCCGCTGTCAAGGGAACGGGCGTGACAGGGGACGGGGCGGGGCTCAGCGGGGCGCCGCGCACTGCAAAGGCACGGTCCTCCGTCACGTCGAGCTTGGAGTTTGAACCTAGAGGACCTGCGATGGTGGCACATGACTGCCAGTGGAAACGCCTGACGCAGGAGAACGTGGTCGGGCAGCGCCGCGCACTACGACTCCCAGCATGCCCCGCGTGGGCGGGCCTCAGCGCGCCGGCGCCGTCCAGTCGCGCGGGGGCCGACGGGAGGTGCGGTGGCCGGGGTGGGGAAGGAACGGGGCCGCCGGGAGATGTGTCTTCCCGGGCCGCTGGGGAGTAGAGTTCGCCGACGCCGCTGTGGCCCGTGGCAGCTTTGGGTCTGCGCCGTGAGGGAGGTGTGTGCAGACTTCGCCGCGGCCTCCTCGGCGTGTGGCCCGGTCCCGCGCTCAGCCCCGCGCACCTCCGGGTCGGGTCCCCTTGGTCCCCGCGGCCGCAGCACCTCGTGCTAGGAGCGGACGTGCGCTGGGGGACCGACCGGCCCGCTAGGGTGGGAGGAAACAACTTCTCTGGCTATGCCCCGCGGTGGAGGGAACCTAGACGGCCGCCACGTCCACGTGCTGCAAAGAACCCGTCTGCGTCACGGGGTCGCTGCAGCACGCGGGGCCCGGAGAGGAATTCCCGCAGCAAAGCCGGTGGCCGGGCACTCGGGGACAGACGGGTGGAAGAAAGGGACGTGCGGGGGGGCGGGGGGAGCGTCGCTGTGCTTTCCACTCCGCGTGGACCTAAATCCACGAGCCACCAGGATAGAAGGACGTGTTGAGGCCACTCCCGTGCAGGGGCAGCCCAGACCCTGGAAGCCCCGTGGACAGAACTGGCGCCCAGGTGGCCGAGCCCAGCGTCCGGAGACCTCCGGCCGGAACTCTCAGGGGACTGCCCGCCCAGGGTGGGCTTTGGCCGTGGAAGCCCCGGAGGGGCACTTAAGCAGTTCGAAAAACGTGCCAAATTCACCTCTGTGTCAGATTCTTTTTATTCACAAGATTTATTTTGAAATCGTACACTTATTAAGGGGAGGCTTGTGATTTGTTTCCTAAGGTGCCGGTTGACTGTCAGCCCAGGGAAGATTTCCCATGTATTTAGCTGTGCACCGGCCATCCCGACAGTCTTCACCAACTCCCACTTTGCCGGCCTGAGAACCCTCCCTCGGGCAGGCTAGCACCGGTAAGACCGGCCCTCCACGGCTGAATACACCCCTCTTACCAGGAAGCCTTTTGGAATCCTGGGCACAAACTTCCAGTTAGCAGGACAGCATAGGAGGATGTCCGGTCACGCCCCTGTGGGACTATGGCTGCCGGTTCACCACAGGGCTTAGTGGGAATCCTGAACTGGATGGGTTCCAGTTTGCAGGCTACATCGTTAAGAAATCTCTGCTCATTGAAGTCATTTACCATTGGATTCAACTTTTTCTCTTCTCATTATTGCTCCAAAGATCTTGTAGGTATAGTCTCAAGGTCTATAAGAATTTACGTAACTCATATTCTAAGAGTTACATGAAACATCTTGGAATTAACCCCCATTACTATTTTAGGGCTTTGCAGGAATAATGAGTCAGAGTCCTCCTGAATTATCTACCTCTCATCAAATAGTGCACTGTTTAAGTGGTTTGTGCTTTGGTAATATTAATACCTTTCTTCTAGAAGTGCAAAGAACTTTATAAATACCATCACACACCGCTCAGAACAACTTTATAACTTTTGTTATAAAAATGAAATGAAAACTCTGTTACTAACAGCTAAACCGTAGGGGAAAGTTGCCCAATGTAACATTCTGTTCATTTTTGTTGTTCCCAAAGCCACCATAAAATGACATCCCAATGATCAAGGCAATAGTTTTAAATGTGATTGACATCTATTGTTTAACATGTGACAGGGAGCTAATGTTCATTCTCTTTGCTCTTTTCAGATTGATTAATGCAACACAGGTCTCAAAATATATTCATTATCTATATATACACACACATATATACGTATCATTGAAGTATATATACACAGACATATTTATATGCTTTTGAGCTTATTTCTCTAGCTAATTTTCATGAGACTAAAACGTATGGAATCCTTGATTTATTTCAACTTGTTCAAGTCACTAACAGTATTCACTTTTGGGTAGATTATCTTTTATGGGTTTGGCTACATTTTAAGAAAAAATTTCTAGTATAGTGGTATCAGTATACACCCATCTTCTTCCCTACAGTTAAACAAGTTTTACCATAGAAGTGCTCTGTAATTATGAATTTATGAACAATTCTCTGAGTAATTCCTTTCAAGGTACGTACTTCCAATAAATATTAAGCAGTTGCAAAGTATGTTGGTAAAAGTAACTTGGGGCTGAACCACTGAGTCCAAGTTCTACTTCCCCTGTGTGATCTTGGCAGCTTGCTTCACCTCTCTGTACCTGTTTCACGTTGTAAAATGAGGATAATCACAATGCCTACATCCTAGGTTTACAAGGATTAAATGAATCACCACACATGAAGGACTTGGAGTATGCCTGGCCCAGCACTGTTACCTTATTATTGTGTTGAATCTTAAATTTTTGCTGTGTACTTGGCACCTGGAAGCTTCTGGTGACTAGTGATAAGACAGGGTTCCTTCCCTTAAAGGCCTACATTCAAGGCTGAAAAAATGGAATACCAACCCCACAGTTATTTTATTTGAATTGTGAACATTAGGAACAGAAGTCTAGGGTGGCAAGAGAATGTTCAGGGGGAAATGAGCAGAGATTTGGAGACATCACCTTTGGAAAGTGACAGGAAATGTGTTCTGAAGGATTCATGGACATCCCAGGCAAAGGAACCTGTATGAGGACCGCACTGGACCTAGGAAGGCTTGTTTTGAGTTACTG